ATTTCCTGTTATTTGGTTTTGAATGTCCTGCAATGCTTTCATTCTTTTGAATGGTTTATACTATTTTGTTATGTTTAACATTATTGTGTGTGAAGGTATGCTCAAGTATTTCAAAGAAAAGAGACATTATGATAGCTACTGTTAGTATCTGGCTGTCTTGTTGTGAAGTGCTGTGTTGCTTGCATTGTTCTGTTCTGATTTGCTATGTTCTGTTCTCCTGTGTTTTATTCTCTTTAAAATAAAAAAAAAAGACAAGGCAGTGTAAGATGAGCAGAGTATTGACCTTGGAATCAGACAAACACAAATTCAAATGTCATACAACTTGTTATCTGGAGGTCCTTGGGAAAATTACCTGCCCTCTCTGAGCATCAATTTCTTCAACCATAAAACAGGAATAATAATACAAGATAGGGCCGTTGTGAGGATGAAATAAAATTATGACATAATGCCCAATAACTTGTAAAGAGTCATTTCATGTTAGTTTCCTTTCTTGTCTTGTTTGGTTTTGGAAAACCAAGTGTCTTTTACTCACAATCAAAGCTGGCTCATCCTTTTTCCCACCAGACACCAGCTTGTCTTTTCCTATATCTTACATATTTTTGAGACACGACTTTGTACAATATTTTTAACCTTAGATTTTGGCAGTATTTGCAAACATAACTTACAGTTAACAATTCCAAGACAATCTTAGATTTTGTGCTATAAATTATTTCACATTTTTGAGTCATATATAGCTTGTTTCTGTATGGTCTGGATATATGGTGGAATTTTGGGAACCATTATAAAAAACAATTTTAAAATGATAGAAGTTGGAGCAATCTATAGGAGCAATGTTCTTTCAGAAAGAATGCATTTGGATTTCATAAAGTTTTCAAACATAACCAGAAGTTCTAAGTAGTGAGTTCGGTTGTAGGGAGCTAAAGAAGGCCAGGTTGTGCAAATATTCTGCTTAATACTTCTCCTATGCATTCCATAGGGTTCTATTTTGGCTAAATCATCATAATTCCCACCAAGATAGCACAGAATGATAATGGTTTTATTTATTATTTTATATGCATTGCCAGTATATGCAAAGTTTTATAGCTTACTATAAATCGAGAGGGATTATCACAGCTGTTACTTATTTTAACAGGTCACAATACAGTAGTTTATACCAGATGGTTTGGAGCATTTGAAGATAGAAAATTTACACAGGCAGCCATATAGATACTAGCTTGGGTAGTCATACACGGCAAGTAATTTACATTTGTTATGTTATACAACATATACAAATAAACCATAGTTTCTTTTGAATGAGTGATCCATTTTATAGTGGCTATTTCTTCTGGAAGCCATGGGGGTCCTTTGCACACATTGGAAGGGCAGTAGCAGTAATACTGTGCTACTACTAGGATAGATGAGAAGTAAAGCTCAGCCACATCCGTGTCTATGGAGGGGACACCTAATTTGCTTCTGTAAGCCTGTAAGACTGAGTCTCCATCGTTGAGTCTTAGTATATATTAGCGCCAAAGAGAACAAATCAGGGAAGTAGCCCTAGGTAAACATAAGCGGGTATGTGTAATGGTGGAAAGAGAATACAATTTGAGTTTGGATCCTCAAGGTTTCCAACAAGGTCAATTTAAGAAAAAAGGTTACCTTAGAACTGGGCAAATAGCAGAGCATATTGCTACTTTTGGGAATACCAAACTTTATAGGTACAGTGTCAATTCAGGATGTGCAGTAGATGGGAAGAAGAAATACATACTGGTGATCAGAAATCACTTTGGAAGATAATTTTGGTTTCAGGTCTCAAAGAACAATAGACAGAATGAGAGACCTAGAGAAAACCTTATGGAAGATCTCTACCCTCTTTGCTTTATAGAGGAAAAAAACAAATCAACAAGAGCAATTAAATATGATCGTACTAGTTCTTTCAATACAAAAAGAAAATCAGACCTTCAAGATATTTAGATTCACTTGGCCTCTTCCAGTTTACCTTCCTTTGAAATGGCCTCGGTTTCTCTTGTGATTCCCACCTGATACTGGGATGGAACCATGTTTCCACGTAGCAGAACAATCCAAAGACCAAGTCTAAAGCATAGCTGAATTTGCCTCAAAAATTTCCAATATACATAAAGGTAATATACTACCTCTGAAACTGAAATAAAAGTATTTTGTCTTTAAGAGTCAGATCTTCCAGATTTTACAAAATAGAAGTCAAGTAAGATCTGTTCACGTCAATAAAATACTTATGCAGACAAGATAAATTTAAACTGGATATTTAGAACATACAACCAGTGTAATATTGTATATGTCTAGAAAACCATAAGTTACAGTGTTTCAAATATCCCACAGTCCATGAAAGACAAGAGGTAGAATTAGAACCTGAATTCAGACTTTCCCAAAATGGCTAGCAGGAAAGTTAAAAATTTGGACATTTGTAGCCTAAACAGTTACTGAAATACTCCACTCTTTTCAGAGCTGCTGTGCTTCTAATGATTTTAGTTCCTTGAAATTCAGTCCTAAGCCTGAAAAAAAAAGTGAAAGATAACTTGGAAGTAAGTTTTCAAGACTGCAAGTACTTGTCAGCAAACCCAGAGAAAGTATAAAGTATGCTTTAGAACAGTGAGGGGCTTCAGAAAATTGTTCTTGGTTGGCTAAGCATTAGTTATGGGAAATTATCTATGGAGACATCTACATTTTCTAGCAAGATTCAACTAAAAAGAATAGTTATGTTTTGAGCCACACCACGCGTCAGAGATTGGTACATATGGGTCATGTGCCAAGTCCCACATATTCCTTTTTTTGTGTGAATAAAGTTTTATTGAAACAGCCATATTCACTCATTTATGCATCGTCTGTGGCTGCCTCTGAGCTACTACAAGCAGAATACAGTAGATGCAACAGAGACTACATGGCTTGCAAAACCTAACATACCTTCTGCCTGGCACTTTATAGAAAAAATTTATTGCTGTCATTATCCTAAGGAAGGACACATTTGGTATAAGAGGGCTGGTTTCCTTTGTTTCCCAAACACAAAGTAGTACACTCAGGTGGACTGGGATGTAAACTTATGCATACTCGGCCCTTAGAATAGAATGTCAGATCTAGTGGAGCCCAACCAGCATTCAGCACAATACCTGGCTGTCTAAGAAATGTTCAGTAAGTGCTTCTGTTTGACGCTTTGAGCCTTAGATGCATCAGGTAGGTACCCTGACACTGTTCAGGGAATGGGAACCACAGAAATGATACAATATAACCATTATGTGTAGAAACCTCAAACTTGGTAGGAATGGCCTACCTTCCTTGAGCTTTTGTTATGTATCTGGTGCCATCATGGTACTTCATTATCTTATTTACTCTTTCTAGAAACCTTATAATTTTTGTTTATTTGTTTGGCTCTTTTTGGTACTGTGGCTTGAACTCATGACATCAGGCTTGCCAGGAAGGTGCTTACACCACTGAGCTAAATCCCCAGCCCAACAATCTTATAATTTAGATATTATCTCATTTTGCAAGTGGGGACACCAAACTTCTGAGGAGTCAGTTTTTTCAAGGCTCCATTGTTGGATGCTGGAGGAGCTAGAATTCAAGCACAGTTCTTTTTTTTTTTTTTTTTTTTTTTTTTTGTCTTTTTCCTTTTTATCGGTACGGGGGTCGAACTCACGACTACCTGCCTGCAAGGCAGGCGCTTATGCCGCTGAGCTAAATACCCAGCCCCCAAGCACAGTTCTTTATATAGGTCCCAAACCCTGTTTTCTTTTTTTGCCTTTAGTTGATGGAATTTGCTAATTTAAACCATCTGCTTATATTATTTCTACTGTCATTGTTAGCAACTACTTCACTGCACATACCAGTATGAAAAGAAGACTTGGCCATTTTCATTGCTTTTCTTTGGAGTTCTGCAGTGTTTATGGTCAAGACTCTCATTACAGAGCAGTCCTGAAAGTCCCAAGCAAGGCACTTTACTTTCTTGGGATGTGTGATTAGTGACTTGGCCACCCGCTATCCATGATCTTGCCAGGGATCGTGGTGGAGGGCAGCCATTTTGCTCACTCTAACATAAATTCTTACATCAAGGCAGGAGAGCTCTGAGCCCATACATGGTGGGGCCTCTCGCTCCCCAAGCAGCAGTTAGTCTGATAACCTTATCCTTGGTGTGATTCAACAGATCTGAGCCCCATCTGAGAATGTGCATTGTGAAAAGCAGGTCCTGCTGCTGCTCCCTCTGGGCTTCCCAGGCACCCTACATCAGTAGCCAGGGTACCTGGTCTTCCCAAAGTCTCAGGGCCCCAGGCTGACCCTAACTCCCACTGAGTTCTCCCCAATATTTGGCATTCTTGGGCACACTTGCTGTCTTTTTGGAAGCCTTCATCTGGATTCTGAGATGAGGCTATGCCCCTTCCCTCCTGATTTTCTTCTAACTCATCTCTGTTTTCCTCTCTAGTGGCTTCTTCCTTTGCCCTCTGACATCCTAGACACAACTCACTTTGCCCAGGCTTTGGGGTTCATGGCTCTCATCTCATCCCCACTGAGCAATTGGCTGTGCTTTCTCCTCTCACCTCATCCTTCCTGTCCTCACCACACTGCCTTCCAAGAGGACTCCAGCCAGGTTCTCTGTCCTTGCTGGCAGCTGGCAATCCCCCAAGGAGGTTGGCATAGGTGAAGTTGGAGGAGAACCAGACTTGGGTTCAGTATGATACTTTATGTGCCCACAATCGTTAATTCACACTAATGTCAATTAGCAAATATCTATTACCACTGCTCCTTGCAAACTGTGTTTTTTGTGACCTTGGCAAGACAAGTATTTCACCATAGGTGTGAAATATGGAGGAGTTACAGACCACATGGACACAATACTGCCCAGCTATGTAAATCTTCCCAAGACATAAACCTCCCCACTTGAAAATGGGTAGCCCAGTCAGAAAATGGTCAGGTTTTTCTCTAAATGTGTTCCAAAGGCCTCAAGACAAATTGCAAAAAAAAAAAAAAAAAAAAAAAAAAAAAAAAACACCTCAGCATTTCACAAGACATCTTTGGATAATTTAATTCACTGATGTTGTTCTTGTTAAATATTAGGCTGTATCCCATACATGTCGTGTTTTAACTGGCCCTAAATGACTCTGCCTGCTGCATTAGGTTGTTATCTATAGACCCTGCCAGCCTAAGGCACACACTGCCATGGTTTTTAATCCTGGTTCAACCTCAGAACTGATTTCGCAAATCATTTTTCCCTGGAGATTAATACATAGCTGCAAAGGCATTGTCCTTGCAGTGCTTGTAAGCCTGAGTAGAGTGAGTTGTGTCTAGGATGTGAGGCTTCAGTCCGGAGATGAATCGGTGGGGGCACGCAATGTCACATTTCCAGGACCGCTGTATTTCTGCTACATGGGGGCACATGCTCTACGACAGGCTCTGTCCACCGTCTTTCTCAGCATGGAGGGCTTGGCACGGTCAGCGTCTGTGATTCCTGTGCTGTTATCCTGAGACTGGAGACAAGGGAAGTGAGAGGGGAGCCACGGGGGTGCGGTGCTGAGCAGCCGCGGTCGGTCCAGCCTGTTGGTGATGTGCCGAGCCTGCCGCCACTCTGGGCATGGGTAACACGCAGCCCCAGCGGTCGTACTACCGGAGAAGGAAACGCACAGGTACAAGAAATCCGGATCCGGGATCCTCCGCAGCCCCTAGCTTGTCTAGGTGCACAGGCCGGGGCTCGGTGGCTGGTTCCCATGCGCTGCCGAGTTTGGGGCTGGGGCTGAGTCCTGCAGCTCACTGCGGCTGGCGGCAGGGGACAGACTCTTTTTAGCCAGGTCCCCGTTAGCCCAGTGGAGCCAGGAAATGTTTGAGGAGCCTGGCGGCTGTCTGCGGAGCGTTGGTGCAACCGTGCCTGCTGCCCGGGAGGTTTGGCTGCCGCAGTCGTCTCCATTCACTGGGCTGTAAATCGAAGCTGTCTACGCCGGCAAGGCACTGGATCCCAGCGTGGCCCCGGGGCTACGTCCCGCCCAGGTCTCCTGGCACCTGATTTCCCAGTGGTCAATTAGGTGGCTCAGCCTGCAGCATTGAAGCAGTGGAGGGGCCAATGCCCCTGCTTTGATGGAGCGCGCCGTGCGCAGAGACCTCCCCAGTCGACTTCCTCATCAGAAGGCAGCATCCATTCATAATTCTCTCTCTGCCTGTGGACCGAGTTAGGCTGGATCTGGGCATGGATTCCTGCGATCTCTCTTTTCGCATCTGAAGGAGAAACTAAGATAAAAGAAAAAAAAGGAAGGGGAGTACGGTCCTAACGCAACAAGGCGCTGGAAAGCCCCTGAGAGGCCTCTCCTTTGCAGGGAGAGCGACGAGAGGCAGACCCCAAGCCCAGCGCCCAGCCAGCTGCTGCTTCGCTGTGGAGCCGGCACGCATGCCTACCTCACCTGACGGCCGCATTCCCGGGGAGCCGGCACGGGGCCCGGCGGCGCGCCCAGGGCGCACGGGCGGTAGGATTTCTGCACCGGGCGAACGAGGCGCGGGCGGGTTGCCCAGGGCCGAGCCTGAGACTGAGCGGGCTCCCGGGGAGGCAAGCCTCGGCGCGGCGCCCCACCGCAACCCACCGGGATGCTCCGCGACTCACAGCCCAGGCCACGCGGGTGTGTGTGAGATGGGACCAGCGTGGGAGGGGGGTGGGGGGGTACGGGCAAGTGACATCATTTTAAACTAATTTCTCGCACCTCTGGATGGTGGGTGAACTTGTGGGTGGGGGAGGCACCAGCCGCAGCCCAGCCTCTCAGTAACCCAAGAGGAAATTCCCGTGGCTGAGGTCTGAGAGCCGGCTCCCCTTGGTGGAGCTGAGCGAGGGTGAGCTGGCAGTCAAGATGGACCGCTCACAGCTTGGAGGGGCGCGGGGAGCCGTGCTGGCTTCCAGTAGGCTTTTATTATTTTTTAAAAGCATATTGCAGCTGCAGCTTTGAAGTTTGCCGCCTCCTCCCCACCCCCCATCCCGGGTTCTGGGGCGGGGCGGCACTTTTACACGCCGCTGCCCAGGCCTTTACAAGCTGGGTAAGGGGTCTGCAGGGGCTGCAGCGTCTGGTGTCCAGCTTTCTGCAGGGGACTTGGAGACTCCAGGGCGCTGCGAGTGAAAAAGCGCCTCAGGCTTGGCCTTTTGGAGGCTTTGAGGGCTGGGGAGAAGTCTGGGATCCCGCTTGGCGCCCCCTCCTGTTTTCTTGCCCTGCCAGTTAGTGTTGGGTGACATTTTCCAGTGCAGGGGTTTCACTGTCATGGAGCTGTGCTGCTGTGAGCCGAAGGGTCTGTTAGGATGAGCTGGAAGAGAGGAGCGAGAAAGCTGGAGCTTTCCAGTTTGTGGCAGTGTTAACCCCTTCGACCCTGCTCTCTGGGCACACCTGTGCTCTGGGGTCACCCTCTGTGGGCATGGGAACCGCTGCCTGCCTCACTGGCTGGGCCAGGACAGTGGAGGGGGAGGGGAGGAGGAGGGCTCTATGCTGGACCTACTCAGGACATGCTGGGCCAGTAATGTGTTCGCTGGAACAGCGAAGCCCTCCTGCCCCCTAAGGGGAAGGCCAAACAGGCCCAGCCATGACAGTGCACCGCGATATGCCATAGTGTATTATGCTCTTGAGTTTTGAAGCTCTTGTTTTATGGGGTTTTTATTTTGCAGTTTTGTGCCTCTTGGTCACCAGTTTGTTTTTCACAGCTGCTTGTGAGCAAGGCAAAGATAACAGCATCTAAAAATAGCCCTGCGGCTGGAGATGCAGCTCTGGTTTGACCCCCCACTCTCAAAGGGCTGGGGTCTCCCATCCCAGCTGCCTGGGGGAGAGCCTGAGATCAAGTATACATCTCCTTAGGAGCATCCAGACTATGGGATCATGGCAAGGTGGGGATGCTGGAGTGCTGGTCTGTGTGAGAAGGGCAGCAGCTCTGAGGAGCCCTATCCATTCCTGTGTGAGCTCCAGAGCAACTGGCCTGCAAGATTGGAGGATGGGAGGTGGACAGGGATTTCTCTCTTACTCCCAGCCAGACACAGGTGGCTTCAAATCCCCTCTGAGTTACACCCAGTAGTATAGATGGGGCTTCTTCCCCTGAATTTCAGGGTTCAACAGGCCACCCATCCCCCAAAGGAATTTGTCCCAGAATCCAGAGTGATCAGGGGGTGCAGGTGGTGTTTACATCATGCCAGCTTCCTGGTGTGTGGGTCCTAGGCAGGGTATTACTCTTTGCTGTCCAGATGGAAATCTCTGGCCAGTTAAGCGGGGATCTTCTCCTTGGTTGGTAAGCTAGAGGCACTCAGCATGCCTGAAGGGGCCACCTCCAGCTAATGGCACAGGTGCCACATGGAATGGATTCAGGATGAGACTGGGCACTTTTCAGTGATTGCAGCAGATGGCAGAAAGCCTGGGTCTTTTGCAGGTTCTAATCTCGTGAACCTGCTAGGCATCTGCTATTCTTTCTTTTCTTTTTTAGGTTTCTTTTTTTCATTAGTACACATTTGCAGTACATAATAATCACAGTCACCATGGGAAATTTGCACATGTACATAACATATCTTCATTCTTTTTTGGTTCCCTTCCTCTCTCCTCCTCTCCCTTCAACTCTTCTTCCCCTTTTGCAAAAGCTTTATTTCCATTTTTTTCAATACTTTTTAAAAGTCCCCTTTTCCTTCCTCCCCTCCCCCTCCCTCCATTTGAAAAACTTCCCCATACTTCCTAATATCCATCCTCTCTTTTGCTCCTTATTTAAAATTTGAGTTTCTCACACAAGAGAAAAAAATGTGATATTTTAAATTTGTGTGTCTTATTTAAGAGTCCTACAATAGCAAAAACAATTCTGGGCAACAAGGGCAAGGCAGAGGGTATCACAATCCCAGACTTTGAGTTATATTTATTTTCAAAAGCCTCCATTTCTCCAATGTTTGCCTTTTCTTTGGTGGCAGTGATGGCCAAGTCCAGCTTGAAGAGAAGTGTTCCTGATTTGGCAATATGATGGGATTGTTTTTGCACAAATTCTTTGGCAATTGCTATATATATTATTTTTTCTATAGTGAAGGAAATGAAGAACAAGGATGTGAATACCCACCACCAGTTAGTTCTTTATTCAAGAAAGAATCTGCCAGGTGATTTTCTCCTCTCTTTTAAAGTGAATTTTGATTGTAAAATTTTACTTTTATTTTCTGTAGGTCATAACTATAATCACTGGGCAAATAAACATTAAGAAGAAAATTTTGATTTGGGGAAAGGAAGAGATTAGGAAAAAAAAAGAGCAACCCCAAGAAATTCATCATTTCTCTAGCCTTCTAATAGAGACTAGTAAATATTGACCGGCTTATCTTTAAAATCCCCTATGTTTGTGCTCCCCAGGATGAATGATGAATCGAGTACCTGTAATGACCCAGTGTAATGACCCAGTGCAGCTAGAGCCAACACTGGCTAGAGCTCATAAGAGTAGATGGAAAGACTATGAGCTGGGATTCAGATTTCATGGAAACATCACTGATTTGGCTTAACCTGTCACAAAATGCCCTTGATCTCCATGCACCTTAGCCAGAAAAGGGCTACTTCCTCTTGAAGTTTTCAACCTAAATTAGCAATTAACTAGAGACTCACAGTCAATGATTGGTCAGGGAATGCAACAAACCTCAAATTTCTGAGGGTGTAACACTGTAACCATTTATTTCTTCCATAAGTGTAACCAGCCTTTTGGCTTATGATGATAGAGAACCTGGTGTCTTCCTCTCTTGTGGCTCTGCCATTCACTAGCACCTTGGAACCCTCTGTATCTAGCCAGCAGACAGAAAAAATAATATGGAAGACTGTCCTAGAAGTAGCACTCCTAACCAGCACCCACAGCACATGGCCAGAACTCAATTGAATGATCACATCAACCTGCAAAGGGGTGGGAAATGTAGTCTGTGTGCAGAGTTATGCCATGGCTAATATATTTTGTGGCTTGGAGGAGCCCTTTTAAATCTCTACTTTGGGATTTGAGTTTGGCTGTGGACAAATCATGTAGCCAAATATACTATATATCTCCATCTCAAGACTCATGATAATTCTACCTCTTCTTTCCTGTCTCAAAGAGATTCAAAAAAGGGTAGTGATATAAAAGGCTCCTAAGGGGTTCAGGTGGTCCAGCTTCTTTGGGTAAAGTCACTGTCATTTTTCCCATCTTATAGATAAAGCTGCCTCACATCATACTAGTTCCCAGCAAGAGTGGAATATGAATCTGGATTCCTTTTTCTTGGCTTATTGCTCCTTCTACTATGTTGTGTTGACCTTGCCCTCTTATGTAAACAATAATATAGAATACAGTTTCTGAAAGCTGACATCCTTTCCTAGTGGGCAGTCACCAAAAGGGCTATTCATATCTTTTAAAATGCATGTGCAATATTTTTGCCAACTTTCCCTATACAATCACTTATAGCCAGGCTCTGAATAACAGGATAGTAATTTGTGCTTTATCCCTGCACTAGCTCATTTGATCTTCACAATAACCTTCTTAGGTAGGAATTATTGTTTTCCCAATTTTAAGACAAGGAAACTGAGGCACAGAGATTAAGTAACTTGTCCAAGGTTTTTTGGGTAACAAGTGGCAGATCTGAGATTTGAGCCTGAGCAAATTTAGCCCTGGATTATTTGACTATACTCCGTCTCTCATCTGGTGAACTCCTTGACCACCCATCTCTGGGGTGTCCAACTGACATAGACCCTGATCCTTAAGATATAACATTTTAGCTTCTTCTTTTAGTAAGTGACCTTGAAGGTCCATGACAGGGAATCATTTACAAATTTGCTGACTTTGAGCCCAAAACATATGAAATTGATACAGAGGATTGAGCTCCTTAGCTAGTGAAGAAAGCTGACCCTCCACCTCTAGCTTTGACAACCTTATGGGGCTTTTTCATTTTCCTTTCAATGTTTTGATCATGATTATGTAGGCAATTACTTCTGTGAAATAATAAAGTTTTTATTTGGTTTTTAAAACTGCCATCAAATGTGGAAAGACTCCTTGGTGCAAGGTTAAAATGTAGTTGGCTTGATGAGGGTCGACAAGGTGAGCACAGCCACGTGACCATGAGAAAATTGCTATTTGGGGTTGTTCCATCTAATATTCCATGAGAAACCATTCCACATCTTACTGACTTAAGAAATAATGGCCAGTTGACTTCCAGGAAAATGGTGCTGTGGTAAAGAAACAACTACCACTTTATTGGCTCCAGATTCTGCAGCCTGGAACAAGCTCAATGGGCTAGTTGTGGTGAGTCTTGCTGGAGGTCAATCACCTGGGGCTATGTCACCTGGGGCTAGGCTCAGCTGGGTTCCTGGGCTGGCTGTGCTTCTAGCATGCGGTGTAGTCTCAAAACAACTTCAAGTGGTCCCTCCAGCAAGGTAACAGGATGTTTTATTAGGCAGCTCAGGGTCCCTAAGAGTGCAAAAACAGAAGCTACTAGGCCTTCTTGGACTTAACCAGTAACTTGCTTTACAAACAGAATAAAACAGGTCACAGGCTCAGCCCAGATTCCAGCACAGGGAGTTAAGCAGAGTCGTGAATATTGGGAGGCTCAGAAGCAGAGTACCACAGCGGGGGAAGGCTGAGCCTCTATATTTACAAACTTGATGATTCCTCATGGATTCAGGGAGTTAACTGT